CATCCATCCACGAGTACTTAAGGACCTTAAGTGTAGAAATAAGTGAACCTCTGATTTTAATCTTTCAAGATTCTTTTCTTTCAGGAAGTGTTCCGGAGGATTGGAGGAAGGCATATGTGGTTCCTATATTCAAAAAGGGTTCAAAATCCTTGCCTGGAAATTATAGACCTGTGAGCTTAATTTCTGTGGCTGGGAAAATATTTGAAAGGTTATTAAGGGATAATATTCAAGAATTCCTTGAGAAGATCATGGTTATCAGCAAAAATCAGCACGGTTTTATGAAGCACAGGTCATGTAAAACTAACTTGATTGCGTTCTACGAAGAAGTAAGTAGAAGTATAGATCAGGGTGTTGGAGTGGATGTGATCTATTTGGATTTTGCCAAGGCATTTGATACAGTTCCACATAATAGATTAGTGTTCAAACTCTAGATGAAAATGCTTGTTCTTGGGTAGAACATTGGCTTAAAAACAGAGTACAAAGAATTGTCATTAATGGTAAATTTTCAAGCTGGACAGAGGTGGCAAGTGGTATCCCTCAGGGGTCTGTTCTGGGACCCTTTCTATTTAACATGTTTATAAATGATCTTGAAGACAGCATTGAAAGTCATGTTTCAGTGTTTGCAGATGACACAAAACTCTGTAAAATAATACAATGTGAGCAAGATATTACTTTGCTGCAGAGTGATTTAGATAGACTGGGGGACTGGGCACTCAAATGGCAGATGAAATGTAATGTTGAATAATGCAAAGTTATGCACTTCGGCATAAAGAATACACAAGCAACGTATACCCTTAATGGAAGCGAATTAGGGATAACAACACACTCAAAGGACTTGGGAATTGTTATAGACAACAAACTATGCAACAATGTGCAATGTCAATAAGCAGTGGTCAAGGCCAGTAAGGTATTGTCATGCATGAAAAAGGGCATTCATTCTCGGGAAGAGGATATAATTTTGCCTCTTTATAAATCACTGGTAAGACCACATATTGAATATGCTGTGCAATTTTTGGCACCTGTTCTAAAGATGGATATTATGGCACTAGTGCAGATGTGGGCTACAAAATGAATAAAAGGAATGGAACATATCAGCTATGAAGAAAGGTTAACAAATTTAAACCTATTTAGTTTAGAAAAATGTCGCCTGAGAGGGGATATGATAACATTATACAAATATATTCAGGGCCAATACAAACCATTGTGTGGAAATCTATTCACAAACCGGACTTTACATAGGACACGAGGTCATGCATTTAGACTGGAAGAAAGAAGATTTTGTCTAAGGAAAAGAAAAGGTTTTTTTACTTTAAGAACAATAACAATGTGGAATTCTCTGCCTGAAGAAGTGGTTTTATCAGAGTCCATACAGATGTTCAAACAGCTACTAGATGCATACTTGCAAAAACAGAATATTCAAGGATATAATCTTTCAATGTAGGGTAATAACTGCTTGATCCAAGGATAAATCTGACTGCCATTCTGGGGTCAAGAAGGATTTTTTTTTCCTAGCTTGTTGCAAAATTGTGCTTCAAACTGGGTTTTATGCCTTCTTTTGGATCAACAGCAAAAAACAAATGTGAGGAAGGCTGAATTTGATGGACGCAAGTCTCTTTTCAGCTATGTAACTATGTAACTATGTAACTATTGTAAATTCGGACAGATACTCCCTCTGTTTCCCCTTCCCCATTTTTTATTATTGATAATTGAATTAGTCATTTTTATTGCAATATTAAATGCCTAATATAAACTACAGGGTATTTGAAAAAAATCGGAATAGTCAAAAGATGAAACCAAGTAAGCAACAGGAAAAACAGAATAATAAACGCACTCTCGGGCTAACAAGAACCACGACAGGGCAATGATTGCCAGCAAGTGGGAACTATATATGGGTTAGAAAGAATACTATTGGATACCATCATCATCCTGCACCTGGACACACAAATGGGTGTGATCTGTGCAGGTCAGACCAAGATGTCCAACAAATATGACATCACGAAAAGTGATGCAATTTCAAAGGATGCCTGTAGATGGCGTGAGGTTGCAATTGACATTCGGCAACCTTGCATATAGTGCTGTTGAGAGAACTCTGCATGACCTCCAAGCTGGAGGTATCCAGAAACACGGCGTTCACCCCAGTATGACTAATGTGGTACTGGGATCGTCATGGTTGCTATATGGCACCTGCCACACGGCAGTCCCAGGTATGATACCATGACCCTGACACTGATTCACCAGTTGTCCTTCCTTGCACCACTTTTGGTACATATAAAGCAGTTCATTCTGGAAACACCCCATAAGACTTGCCTTTTTGGAGATGCTTTGACCCAGTTATCTAGCCATCACTATGTGGCCCTTGTCAAAGTTACTTAGATATTTTTGCTTACCCATTTTTCCTACTTCCAAACATATGAAATTCAACAACTAACCGTTTGCTTGATGCTACATATATTTAACCCATTGACTGGTGCCATTGTGACAATATAATCAATGTTATTCAACTCGTCTGTCAGTGGTTTTAATGTTGTGGCTGATCAACAGGTCCAGACTGGGAAAAAATTTGGCAATTACATTTTTTAATCACGGTGCTCAATGGCAAGGGGTGAGTCCAGGGGGGGTGAGGGGACTGTGTCATCACCAGTGACAACCATGTTCCCCCTCAAAGTGAGCATGTTAAGTTCAATGCTCTTCCAGGGCAGCCCGTGTTCAGAGCCTTGTTGAAGAGAAAAAGGCCACATATGTGTTCTGCTCAGCACAAGCAAATTGAATGACATGTTTGTACTGCTTTTTTATTGTGACTTGACTTTGATGTCAGCGGGATTCCCAAGGACAAAGAGGCCAGGAAAGAATACTGTATATCATTATTATTGTTATTATTATTATTAGTAGTAGTAGTAGTAGTATCACCATTTATATAGCACCAACAGATTACGCCGTGCTTTACAATATAAGAGGGGGGATTTCAGGGCCGGATTAACATAGGGGCTGATGGAGCTGCAGCTCCAGGCCCAGGCCCATGGAATAGGCCCATTTAAAAAAAAAAAATAATAATAATTTTTTTTAACTTTTTTTTTTTTTTACACACATTACTCTGAGGTTTGCCACCTGACTAGTATTTTACCAGTATTTGAGGCTGCCTGGCCGTGCTGGTATTGCAGTAATACCGGCAATACAAATGCAGGTATTTTTCTCAGTATAAATGGAGATTACTCTGTAATACCAGCACTAACCAGTAGTGGTCACTGTGTGTGGAGAGAGGCAGGGATAGGAAGTTACAGCATCTCCCTCCCTGTCTCTCTCTAATCACTGATCTGTGGGGAGCAGCTACACAGCACAGAGAGTCCAGACAGCAGCTCCTAGTCTGCAGAGACAGACTACAGGCCAGGTACGTGAAGTATGGGGGGAAAGGCAGCAGGGATACATGGGGACACTGAAACACTAGGGGACACTCTGAGATATGGGAATGCTGAGACACATGGGGACATTGGGAGACACACTGAGACACAGAGACACATGGGACACAGTGTCCCCATGCCTCCAAGCCAGTGTCCCTATTGTCTCAGTGTCCCCTAGTCTCCCACTGTCTATATCCCTATATCTCTCAGTGTCCCTAGTGTCTCAGTGTCCCCATGTATCCCAGTGTCCCCAAATGTCTGTGTCCCCATGTCTCCCAGTGTCCACATGTCTCCCAGCCAGTCCCCCTAGTGTCTCAGTGTCCCCATGTCTCCCAGTGTCCCCAAATGTCTGTGTCCCCATGTCTCCCAGTGTCCACATGTCTCCCAGCCAGTACCCCTAGTGTCTCAGTGTCCCCATGTCTCCCTGTGTCCCCATGTCTCCCAGTGTCTGTTTCCCATGTCTCTCAGTGTCCCCAAATGTCCCCATTTCTCCCAGTGTCCCGAAGTGTCTCCATGCCTGTGTCTCCATGCCTCCCAGCCAGTGTCCCTAGTGTCTCAGTATCCTCATGTCTCTCAGTGTCCCCATGTCTTCCAGTGTCTGTGTCTCTGTGTCCCTAGTGTTTGTGTCCCCATTTCTCCCAGTGTCCCCATTGACTTGCTGCTTCACTGGACACTGCTGTTAGGGGGTATGGATTTAATTGAAAGAGTAAAGCATAAATTAGAGAGAGATTAGCATAGAGTATGTGTTTTCTTAAAGCTGCATCCTTTGAGTTTCCCTCCAACACCATCTCCATTAGATACTTGACGCTTGAGAGGTATGACTGTTTTAGTGTCTATGGTCGATAAGATGCTTGTCATGACTGTTAGTGTGGTCTAGCATGCAGAACTATGTAACATCTACATAGACAGAACAGAAAATGATAAAACGTAAACCGGTTCTTAGAATGGCCGGACTAATACGTTAAAAACAGAGAATGGTCAAGGGAGCCAGAAATATACAATACCATTTAACAAGCCAAGTCAGGGAAGCCAGGAATCAGAATAGTCAGGAATAGCCAAGGTCAAAATACTGGGAATATCAAAAACCGGACAAGAAAACGCACTCTCAGGATTCAGGAACCAGGAACGAAAACCACGACAGGGCAATAACCTAGGTTAAATATCCCTCTGGCCTCTGACTGCAGAACGTGTGTGTGTGTGTGACCCTGGGGGGCAGAGCTATATCTGGCTGCAACTGCATGTTCGGCACCATCTTGAACTCAGGCAGGCAGCAAGGAGAACCCGGCAGAGCTGCTCCCGACTCGCCGCTGAGCAGATAAGCTCAGTTCGTTGGCGTGGTCACTCTGGTCCGGTGCGACTGCACCTCGCGGCGAGCCGGTGGCTGTGACAATTCTGTAATTAGGCCCCATCATAATTGTCAGCACCAGGCCCACTGGGCTCTTAATCTGGCCCTGGGGGATTTAACTATAGAAAGGACAATTACAAGGAACTTACAGGATAGGTTGAAGAGGATCCTGCTCAAATGAGCTTAAAATCTATAGAAGGTCCACAATAGGACAGGAAATAGCAATCAAATAAGGTGGGAGTGAAGCAGTGCTGGAGGAGAGAGTAGAGTGCTGCCCTATAGGAGAGCGCAAGAGACAGGTATGTGAGGTAGAGGTTACTCTGGGAGGCCATAAGCTTTTCTAAAGAAATGGGTTTTAAGGCTCTTCTTAAATGATTGAAGACTAGGGAGAGTCTGATGGCAGTAGCCAGGCTATTCCATAGGAAGGGAGCCGCACGCAAGAAGTCCTCCAAGCGTAAGTTGGTGGTACGGGTGTGTGCAGCGGACAGGTCACGGGCAGAGCGGAGAGACCGGGAAGTCGCATACCTATGGATCTATGAAGAGATATGAGGGGCTAGAATTGGTCAATGCTTAATAGGTATGAATTAGTACTTTGAATTGACTACTATAGGATACAGGAAGCCAATGTAAGGACAGACAGAGGGGTGAGGTGTGAGAGGAGCGACTAGAGATGGAAATTAGTCTGACGGCAGCATACATTACAGACTGTAGTGGGGCAATAAGGTTTTTGGGAAGACAAATTAGGAGAGGGTTACAATAATCAAGCGGGAAATTACAAGAGCATGGACAAGCTCCTTAGTAGCATCTTTCTTAAGAAAGGGGTGGATGCGGGCTATGTTTTTAAGATGTTATCTACAGAATTTGGTAACATGCTGGATGTAATGCTCAAAGGTGAGGCCAGAATTAAGTATGACACCAAAACAGCACGCTTGCAAGGATGGACTGATGTGGATACCACTAACTTGAAGGGAGAGTGAAAGAGGAGGATCAGGAATCAGGAGGAGGAAAGAAAAGGAGTTCAGTTTTAGAGAGATTTAGTTTTGGAAAGTGGGAGAAAAAAAGGGAAGCAAAAAAGGGAAGCAGAGACACTTTGCAGGAGGGCAGAGGAGAGGTACGGAGAGGAGATATACATCTAGGTGACATCAGCATACACGTGGTAGTGGAATCCTAATGAGGTAATTGTCAAGAGAGTCAGTATAAAGAGTAAATAGAAGGAGACCAAGGACAGAGCCTTGGGGGACTCCAACCAAGATAGGACAAAGGGAGGAGGTATCATTAGAAAAGGAGACACTGAATGAGTGTTGGGAGAGATTAGAGGAAAACCATGAGAGGACAGAGTCATAGAGACTGAGTGATTGAAGAGTTTGAAATAGGAGAGCCTGATCAACGGTGTCAAAGGCAGCAGAGAGGTCAAGAAGAATTAGTATGGTGTAGTGGCCTTTGCATTTAGCTGTGATTAGGTTGTGACAAACTTCCCTTTCCAAGCGAGTTTGCTGAGATTTCCTGGAGGACCCTGCTTGCCAGCCTCCTGCCCACAAAGTATGGACCCAGTGAAATACAATGTAAAAGACTCTGTTCGTGCAATTATTATTTATTTATTATTTATAAAATATTTTACCAGGAAAGATACATTGAGATTTCTCTCATTTTCAAGTATGTCCTGGGTCCACAAATCATTGCATTGATACAATAGGGTACAAAAAAATACACAAACAATATTAATACACAATAAATACAAAATTTAACATAGAACAGGTAGGAAATATATAATCAACCATGACAGGTGCATTCTGTTTTGAGGTATGTAAAGAGAGATCTCTTAAAGGACTTTAGGCTTGGGGAAGAATTGAAAGTAGAGACGAAAAATGGGGCAGACAGTCCACTCACAAAAAAGTGGGTGGAATGCCTAGCCTCATTCAAAGTACCTCATAATGTAAATAGTCACATAGAAGAGGATAAACAACCTTTATTAGAAAAAAAATGTTAAAATGGTATATAGTCCAAATACTATTACCATACACTAAAATAGTGTATTGATTATAAGTTAACCACCAAATTTGTAAAAGCCTGGGAGAGGCTAATCCTGCAAGGTATGTTTGACTTAATAAAGGTGTAAAAATACACCTAAAATAATAAATGGGTAACAAAGCAGGTTAGTCTAAATCCATTCTAGGAAAGGACCCAGCTGGGTAATTGGATAGAAAAAGGATAGTCTTAGAGCAGTGTCTGAGAGAATCTGGAAAGGGCAGGGTTAATAGCAACTAATGGGGCACACCCAAACTAATATCGAGTAGCTTATACTAAAGATAAAAGGAGCTAATACCCCATAAAGAGAGGAAAGATAGAACCCCCCCCCCCTTTGAGTCACCCTAAAAAAAAGCCCCTCTCTCTTTCTTCCAATTCTGAAGAATTGAAAGTGTGCAGGAGATCGTTCCACAATTGCGGTGCTCTGTAGGAGAAGGAGGATCAGGCTGCTTTCTTTTTGTATTGAGGTAGACTAAATAAAGTGTTAGTACTAGATCGGAGATTATAGGAGGTGGGAACAGCCGAGGAGAGCATTTTGTTCAGGTAGGGTGGGAGTTTCCCAGAAAAGCTCTTTAACACAAGGCTGGAAAGATGAAGGATGCGTCTGGATTCCAGTTACAGCCAGTTTAGTTCTTTTAGCATGTCACAATGGTGGGTCCTGTAATTACATTGTAGCACAAAGCGGCAGAACGATTTATACAATGTATTAAGTTTATTAATGTGAAATTGTGGTGCAGATGCAAATACTACATCCCCATAATCAATGATTTCCTTTACTGTAGGGCTTAGGCAGGATTTGTTTCTGTACAGGTCACCTAGTTTTGGATAAAGTTTAGATGCAAATTTTTCTATGTGGAGGCCAAAAGATAGATTGGGGTCTAACAACATACCCAAGTATTTGAAAGAGTGGACTACGGTCAGTGTTCTATTTGAATTTGTTTTGAGGGTTAGGTGGTGTGACAGACCTCTCTGTCCCTGGATTAATGTTGTTTCACGTTGGTTCGTCTGTTTATTAGGTTATTGCCCTGTCCACAGGGTGCCAATGTTTAATTGCCCTTTTGCCGAAAGAACTACTGAATGGTCGGCCACCCAGCAGGAAAGTGTGCTGCTTGTTAACCTCTTGGCCTCATTAGAATGTTTTTGAGTTTGTGCAGTAGAATGTCATGGTCTACTGTGTCAAAGGCCTTTGCAAAATCAAGGAAAATAGCTCCAGTTAGGTCTCCTTGTTCCATGCCAGTTTGGATGTCATTGCAAACTTTTAAGAGGGCAGTTGTAGTGGAGTGATTCTGGCGAAAGCCCGATTGATCAGGGGTCAGATAGTTTGATTGTTGGTAGTACTCACATAGCTGCGTATGGACACATTTTTCTAAGATTTTTGGGATACTGGGAGCAATGATATTGGGCGATAGTTAGAAGCCAAAGTAGGGTCACCACTTTTATGGATAGGCAATACTCTTGCAATCTTCCAAAGTTTAGGTATGTACCCAGACACCAAGGATTTGTTAATTAGGGTTGCAACGGGTTCAGCAATTGCTGGCGCATTGAGCTTCAACAGCATTGCTGGGATTTTATCAGGTCCAGACTTGTTTTTCATTTTTAGATTATTAAGGTGTTTTTTAATGACACTAATAGGTACAGGTCTAAAAATGAACTTGTCTATATTGGTCCTTTGCAAATTTAGGGACTATACGGTCTGTTACCAAACAACCACACGAACCAGAGACCAAACTGGAGCTTGTTAACATCTATTAAGAACCTGGAAACTCCCAAACACCACTGGACTTCCATCATCACCTGTGTTCGGTTCTATACAAATTAAAGGGCACTGTTAGGTGAAATCATTCATCTGGATGAGGAGAATAAGCTCCAGGGTAAGACCATTAACTATGTTCAGAGGTTTGTTCATTTTTAAACTACCGAACTAGAACGACTGCTAGCCCTGATTCTATGCAACTGTTTTGGGCATGGGAGCATGCCTGCGGTCAGTCAAATAAATGACTTTGAGGAAATTCCTGAACCCCTGAACTGATCTGGGTAATTTTTGGATATGTTGGACACCCATATCATGGCTATCGGGGGATGTAACTTTGTGGGGATTTTGTGTGTTTTTAAGGTACTTTTGGGGTATTTGTAAAAATGTATGGGTTTTTTCTGTGCTTGGACATAATTGGATTAGATTAGTACAGTTTCTGATCCAATTATTTCCTAGGCAAAGAGGAGGGATTATCCTATTTTGTATAGGTGTGTCCTGGACCTGAGAGCCAATGTAATTGTGTATTTGTTTTTACTGTAGTCTAATCTCAGATCCAGGGGTGAGTGCCCCTTGCATGGGGACAGGCATATAAGGCCAGTTGTGGCCACCATTATATTATATATATTACAGCTTGCACTCCAAAAGTGTGTGTCGTCCTGTTATTGGAGGAAAGGAAGATTTACTTCCTGTGTCTGTTGTTCCAGCTTGGAGGGGATTCAACGGTGAAAGTCCTTGTAAGGACTAGAGATCACATCGTCCATTGCCTGGGGGTGTCTAGAGCGAATTCCCCATTCGGTTCCAGGAGGGAGTGATTCCAGGGCCCCAGTCAAGCTATGGTGACTGTGGGCAGAAGTGCTGATGGTTGTCCCCAGTTCCAGCTAGGAAGCAGTCCTTGGTGGAGGTACCCAGCCTGGGGTACAGGGAGCTCCGTCACATAGGTCATTAGTAACTTTGTTAAGAGCAGTCTTGGTAGACATGCCAAACTAATCTTATTGATTTTTTTGATTGGGTAACTAAAATTATAGATCAGGGTGGTGCAGTAGACAGAATTGTTGCAACTGACATTTAATGTGGATAAGTGCAAGATAATGCATCTTGGACGTAAAAACCCAAGGGCAGAGTACAGAATATTTGATAGAGTTCTAACCTCAACATATGAGGAAAGGGATTTAGGGGTGATTATTTCTGATGACTTAAAGGTAGGCAGACAATGTAATAGAGCAGCAGGAAATGCTAGCAGAATGCTTGGTTGTATAGGGAGAGGTATTAGCAGTAGAAAGAGGGAAGTGCTCATGCCATTGTACAGAACACTGGTGAGACCTCACTTGGAGTATTGTACACAGTACTGGAGACCGTATCTTCAGAAGGATATTGATACCTTAGAGAGGGTTCAGAGAAGGGCTACTAAACTGGTTCATGGATTGCGGGATAAAACTTACCAGGAAAGGTTAAAGGATCTTAACATGTATAGCTTGGAGGAAAGACGAGACAGGGGGGATATGATAGAAACATTTAAATATATAAAGGGAATCAACACAGTAAAGGAGGAGACTATATTTAAAAGAAGAAAAACTACCACAACAAGAGGACATAGTCTTAAATTAGATGGACAAAGGTTTAAAAATAATATCAGGAAGTATTACTTTACTGAGAGGGTAGTGGATGCATGGAATAGCCTTCCAGCTGAAGTGGTAGAGGTTAACACAGTAAAGGAGTTTAAGCATGCGTGGGATAGGCATAAGGCTATCCTAACTATAAGATAAGACTAGGGACTAATGAAAGTGTTTAGAAAATTGGGCAGACTAGATGGGCCGAATGGTTCTTATCTGCCGTCACATTCTATGTTTCTATGGATGGAAGCCAGATTGAAGAGGGTCAAGGAGAGAGTTGGAATTGAGGAAGTAAAAAATACGGGTAAAGACAAGTCTTTCCAGAAGCTTTGAGGAAAATGGAAGCAGGGATTTAGGACGATAGTATGAAGGGGAGGACGGGTCGAGAGATTTTTTTTTTCAGGATTGGTACTGCATTGGCATGTTTAAGGTCAGCAGGGACAATGCCAGAAGAGAGAGAGCAGTTGAAGGATGGCACAAGACAAGGGGAGAGAGATTTGATAAGGTGAGATGGGACAGGATCAAGCGGGCAAGTGGTGGGGTGATTGGAAAGGAGAAACACAGTGGCGTCGCTGGGGGGGCAGAGGGGGCCATGCCCCCCCTATTTCATGCTGTCAACTTGCTGGCCATGTGCTTACATTCTATTCCCTCAGGCTGTAACAGTCTGTTACAGCCTGAGGGAATGCAGAACAGAGCAGCTGGAATGGGGCTGGGTGTTGTCTGTGGCCGGAGGGAACAATGAGAGGCTCCCCGGCACAGACCCCACCCCCCGTTAAGCAGCAGACCATGCTGCTACTGGAAAGGCCAGAAGATGGCTGTCTGACCCCAGCAACAGGATCCAGTGCCAGGTAGGCTTGATATGCTCAGGTGTGTGTGTGTGTGTGTAGTCAGCAGTCTGTGTGTCTGTGTGTGTGTATGGACTCAGCAGTTTATGTGTCTGTGTGTGTGTGTATGGACTCAGCAGTCTGTGTGTCTGTGTGTATGGACTCAGCAGTATGTGTCTGTGTGTGTGTAAGGACTCAGCAGTCTCTGTGTGTGTGTGTGTGTGTGTGTGTATGGACTCAGCAGTCTGTGTGTTTGTGTGTGTATATGGACTCAGCAATCTGTGTCTCTGTGTGTGTAAGGACTCAGCATTCTGTGTGGGTGTGTGTGTGTGTGTATGGACTCAGCAGTCTATGTGTCTGTGTGTGTTCATGGACTCAGCAGTCTGTGTGTGTATAAGGATTCAGCAGTCTGTGTGTGTGTATGGACTCAGCAGTCTGTGTGTGTGTGTGTTTGTGTGTGTGTATGGGCTCAGCAGTCTGTGTGTGTGTGTGTATGGACTCAGCACTCTATGTGTCTGTGTGTGTGTGGACCCAGCAGTCTGTGTCTCTGTGTGTTTAAGGACTCAGCAGTCTGTGTGTGTGTGTGTGTGTGTAAGGACTCAGCAGTCTGTGTGTGTGTGTGTGTATATGGACTCAGCAGTCTGTGTGTCTGTATGTGTGTATGGATTCAGCAGTCTGTGTGTTTGTGTGTGTATGGACTCAGTGTCACGACACTCCTTAGTTGATTTGCCCTTGTGCAGTACTCACACTCACCACTGTTTCTGTTTGTCACTGTTCCTGATATCTTTTCATTAAGCACTTCACCTGGTCCTTGTTTAGCACCTATTTAGTTTGGTTTCTCCCCTCACTCCTTGCCAGATCATTGCCTTTGGTTTCCTGTTTCCCTGGTTTCCTGTGTTGCTGGCTCCTGGCTCCTGCATACTGTGACTTGGTCCTGTGTCCTGCGCCTCCTGGTCTTTACTCCTGTGTTCTCCTGATCTTCTTCCTGTGTCCTCCTCATCCTGCGTTACAGTGTCCTCCTGGTCCTTCGTTGCTGTGTCCTCCGATCCTGTGCTCTGGTTCCGTGGTCTCTGCTTTACTACCAGTGATC